GTTAAAGCTTTTAAAGACCTTTTTAAAAGTGCATTTTAACCAAATTTAGGACAGACTGGTGAATAAATCATGTTTCACTTATTAAAGCGTCGCAGGTCAGTAGTATATCTGTGGTCCTGTGCAGAGGTCAGTGTCATGATGGAATATGGTTATTAGACTGAGTTAAGTCGATCTACATTTTGCCAACAGGTCAGAAAGAAAATCACAGTATTATAGTTTTTTAAAGGTTTGGACTTTTACACAGAAAGGCTTCAATAATTTTCACAAAATTAAATTCAAATGAAATGAAATTAGTTAAAATCAGTGAAAACCTCACAACTTCAAATTTAAGACTATTTAATGACTTTTAAGGCTTCACTGTTGTTACACTGAATTTAAGACTTTTTAAGGACCTACAGTCACCCTGTATAAAACAAAACATAAATATAAATGTATTTCAAAATGGAGCACTCAGCATTCTGAAGTTGACTTTGTAACTGGATTATGTTTCCTGATAATACTTTCTTTAATCCACAGTGATGTGTTGGTGATGGACTCAGCACTTCACAATCTGCAGAGCAACTTTCTTTAACATAACTCCAGCGTTTATAAAGTGCTGCATGAACCCAGGAGGAGGAATTATCTGAGGATCACTTCAGTTCAGTAATCACTGAAGGTTTAAACTCATCAATAAACCACAGCTCAGTCAGATCGTTTCTGTTTTATCATTTTAATACATTATCTCTGATGAGAGGAGCTGCTTCAAGTCTCATCACAAACCCCACTGATGTGGCAGAAACAAATACAGAAGAGGGAGAGAGAGAGAGAGACGCTGACTGAAACTGAGGAGGAGAAATCTGCATCTCAGCTGTGATGAAGAACGAGTCTGTCATCGACTCCGTGGTTTCACCTTGTTGCTTCACACAGAAACAGAAACATAAAACCAACTGTACAAACATGACGCTGAGAGAACGTGAGGAGAGGACTGTGATCTGTTGGACGTCAGGGTTCAGTTACTCCTCTTCTGTAAACTACATCTTATTCATCACTGATTAATGTCGCAGTTAATTGTTCTTATTTTCATAAGACTGAAGAAGTTTTCTGTCACAATTCAGCATCTTTAACCAAAAACAAAAAAACACTTGGACAAATAAAAAAAGAAGATTCTATATAAAACCCAAAAAGCTGCTCAGACACCTGCAGGGAGAACAAACATTTCAGTCTAAAGGTTGTTCAGTTTCATCTGCTCATACACTCAACTCTGACTGCTTCATCCTGCTGTGACATGTTAGAGTCGTGGTAATTAGTAAGAGCTTCATCATCATCATCATCATGTAGCAGACTTTAAACAGTTTGATTACATGTGACACATTAGTTTGTGTCGTTGTCTTTTAGAGACGTGGCGATTTAAAGTGACAGTTTTTAGATCAGTGTAAGTTTGCTCTGTGTCCTGTCTGTAACTGTAAAATATAAAGTCAGGATTCAACTCCATGTGTCCACGTGGTGTCTGATCGTTCAACAGGGACGAGTGAGTACACCATCATCAGTGTCTGTATCTGTTCTCAGAGTGGGTGGAGTTTATGACAGAAGAGGGTGGAGTTTCAATTGAAGTGGGCAGGGCTAATCAGCTTATATTGATTTGTATGGATCAGAAGTTTCAATATTTACTACCAGTGAGAAAAGTATTTACAGAGTAGCTGATCACAGAGGAACAGATTAAACATGAGCCATCACCAGTACAGATAGTGACACATTTTAATCATATAATATTCATATAAAGTACATGTTCTGCAACACAAACTGGTTTCATGAGTATTTGGCTCAGCCCTGGTGTTCAGTTAAACAGCAAACTGAGACTGAGGCTGAGACGTGCTCGGCTCAGTCACCAGAGGAAAGTGTTGGCAGCAAATACACAACATGAGTAACACTCAGAGGAAACGAGGATCCACGACAGAAAATGTACTTTTCTGGTTTCTGCTTTTCTTGGAGACGAAACTTGTCTGAGTTCAGACCTGAAATCAGATCAATTATTAGCTCAATGTATGAAACTGTGACAGGTTCAAAAATTGAAACAACTGTTCAGGAACATCTGTGTGTTTCCACTTCAATCATCTGGTCCTGACTGTTTAAATAAAGTTTGGCCTGGTTGAAATTTGAGGTTTAATAATATCAGACTATGATATATAGAATATGTGGAGCGTGAACAGAGACAGGTGGAGTTAACCCTTACAGGGATTTCCTAAAACTGATGTACAGACTCAGACAGCAGCATCGTGGTGTGTTTATCTGCAGAGGCTCCGCCCCCTGACTGGAGTTTATTACTGTATGTTTATTTCGTCATGTTCAGGATGTTCCTGGTCACAGCGCTCAGATGGGGGCGGGACTTTAAAAGAAGGTAGGGACCAGGTGTCAGACTATGAGCAGCAGGCGTCTGAGAGGAAGCAACAAATATCACAGACGGTGCTGATGAAAAAAAAATGTATATAGTGAGGTGAAACGCAGAGTGGACAAAGCTTGATCCAAAACAAGAGTGAGTCTGAGGTTGGTGACACTGAGGAAGAGGATGGGGATGAAGAGCGACACACAACTGGCCTGTTTTCTGTTGGACAGGAAGCTACCAGCTGTTAGCTAACGAGCTACGGCCGAGCAGACCAAAAAGAAACAGAGCACCACCTACACAATCAAACTCCATCGACAGCACAGACACACAGATCAGGTGTGTCAACAGGTGATCGCTCAGGTGTTTGTTCTGCACTGCTCTTACACTGACAACCAAAGAACAAGAAGGACACACACTGACACACTTCAGGATGGGTAAAGGAGAACTCTGCTTTTAACCTGGACCTTATTTTCATATCTCTGTGTCTCAGTGTCTGAAGGGAGCAACAATAACTGTGCTGACAGAGAGGCTGCAGCAGTGAAACAGGAAGTGATGTTTCCACTCTGTTCACGGCGTCAGAGTCTGTTCACTGACAGGATCAGACTGTTACCCTGAGTGTCTGACACCATCATGAAAGGATCCCTCCCTGTACCTTCTCCTTGTTCAGTCTGTTTTGTATCCAAGTCTCACTGATGAGAAGTCTCACTGATGAGAAGTCTCTCCAGAGGGGAGGTGCTGCAGGAGGAGAACACTAGTGAGAGGAGAGGTGGTGACAGTCTGTTGTGTTGGAGTAAAGACAGTGAGTCTTACTCTTCTCTAAAAGGTTTTCAGTATCATGGCTGAATATTCAGCTGATTCTGACGGTGTGAAAAAGTCTGTGAGATTTTAGAACAAGTCCTCTCCTATAGTGAGACTGAAACAAGTGAAAGATACAGAAGGACTTTCATTTGTCTGTAGACTCTTCTCTGTGATGACTCCAGACACTCATGATAACAATCAGGGGCTGTATTCACAACCAGTTGCTCCTGGTGATAAAATTATAAAATAAATTCTTAGAAAAAAAAGAGTCTTAAAGTTCAGACAGATCCTGTGAAGATAAAAGTTATTTACAAGCGTCTCAGGCCTTAAAGTAAAAACTGCTGGGAGCAGGAAGGAGGAGTTTAAGAGGAGTAAGCGTTTCTTGAGAGGAGGAGAAAACGCCAGAAAGACAAAGAGGTTGGAGAAATATTCTCCAAACACTGGAGGACAGTGAGGGACTAAAACACTACAGATCACATGGTGCAGAGACGATTGTGATCGATCTCATTAGGAATGAGCTCAAACGAGGTCAAAAGGGCGACCAATCAACAGGGTCGACCACACCTCCTCACTGAGGTCACAGTTTCTGCTGCTCTGAGAATTTTACTGAAACACCCATAAAGCAGGATTTATACTTCTACACCGTAGCCTGACGTGCACCTCCCCAGAAATGTAACTCCACAGTGTCACAGTGACGCAGACCTCCTGTCTGTCTCTGTGAGCTGAAACCATTTCCCTCAGTGGAAACAAAGCTTTGATTTACTTTAATTTCACAGATAAGAAACAATAAATTGTGAAGACAATAAAGCTTCCACACACTGTGTGTGATTTATCCTGGCTGAAATATGAGCAGAGGAAATCTCTGCTAGCTGCTAGGCTAATTTATACAATGTAAAATGCCATAGACTTGTGCTAATAAAGTTAGCATGTTGTATTTGTGGGGAAAATGTGTCCAGATAAAGACAAGTGTTTGTCTGTGAATGCTGCGAGTTATAGTGAAGCTGATTTGTGTTTGACACTGTCTCTATTAAGACATGTTTAATGTGCGTTTAATGTGCGTTTAATGTGTGTTTTGAATCAACTAAACTTTACAGCACTGTGTGTAAACACTGAGTGTTTTGGAGGTGTAACTGCAAAGTGACACAGACACACCACCGTACAACACAGGAGGCAGAATTAGGAGCTCTGTAAGAGGATTCTCAGGATATTTGCAACATGATCTCTGAGCCTGTCAGTGGCAGACAGAAGCACCTTTACTGCAGGTAAATTTCTAAAGTGCACTGCGCTGACGTCTGTGGTTACACTGCAGCCTGCTGAAGGCGTCTTATTCAACTAGACCGAACTAAATAAGTGTTGTTTCCACAAGTCACTTTGACACGACAACATGAAAAATGTTCCGTGTTGAAAAATACCAGAGTTCTCCTTTCAGTAATGAGTACAGCTGCAGACACAGAGTGGTTTCTAACAGGAACACTACTGCGTTCTGTTCTTCAGCACGATGTGACTTTAATTCATTCAGTTGTTTTAAAGTTGCTCACAATCAAAACTGTATTTTCTAAATGTCAGAATGAGACTGACGTTAACAAATAAAACACTTTGTCCATGGGTTAAAACAGGGTGACGCTCTCCACGCTTCCTGTGTGTGTGTGTGTGTGTGTGTGTGTGTGTGTGCATGTAGCTACTGTCGTCCCCCAATAAATACTCAGGTCAAACAGGCTGGAGGACACAAATGAAAACCTAAATGATGGTGTGTTGCCAGGGTCCAGCAGGTGTTAACATGATGTTAAAAGAGGAGTTGTGGNGGGGGGGGGGGGGGGGGGGGGGGGGGGGGGGGGGGGGGGGGGGGGGGGGGGGGGGGGGGGGGGTCTGATCTAACCGTGCAGTTAATCAATACATGGAGAACATAAACAGCAGCAGCCACTCATTACGGTCGCCACTGGTTCTGCACCTTCTTCCCCACATCACAGGTCGCCATCATTCACTCTGAACGCAGTGCTTCAAAGATATAAACATTTGTACAATCTTTAGAAAAGAATTCACATTGATGTGCTCAATCTGGAAACAGTTCATCTCACTACAGACACCTGGTCTCTGCTCAGTAGAACCTCTTGTTCCTCTCCTGTCTCTTCTGGAAAACTACAGCTCCCACCACAGCACACACCACGATCCCCAGCAGAGCGCACAGCAGCAGCAGGAACACCTTCCAGCCGGTCAGGGGCGTCCCTCGGAAGTTTCCGGTGGGATCGTCGATGTTGTCTGTGAGGGGAGATGAAGAGAGGCTATGTTCATGTTCATGTTCATGTTCATATTTATGTTCAGGACGGCTGCTCGTCTGGTTTGTGGAAGACTTCCGAATAAGTCCCAGGAAACTTGATACTAACAGAGTAAAGTAAATTATCACGTCTTCATAAAGCTGCTTTCAAACTGCTGCTCCGTAACTCTCTGCCTCCATCATTTCAGTGAGGGGAAGGTGACAGAGGGGAGGCACGATAACGTTTCCACCAAACCTCAGATGGTAAATTGTAGAAATCTTTGGTCATTTCAGAGCTTTCCTTCGTCTTGTTACAGTCTGCAGCTACAGGGAGCTTACACTTCTGCCAGTGTCATCACAGCCCTGAGCGAGGCGGCAGCAGACACTTTGAAAAATGCTTTACTTTGCAGGTGGTGGTTGTCAGGGTGATGACCACATGACAGTGTGACAGCAGCTTAAGGGGCTGTATATACACATGCTGTGTTTTTTTTGCCCTCATATTAATTGTTTTCAATGTAGTTGCACAGCAGGCACACTCAAACAGTTGAGACGTCCTGACCTGCTCCATACGTCAGCAAACAGGCTGAGTGCTGCGTCCTGACTCTGCACTGCAGAGTTTGGCACATTTTCAATCCAAGTGGATGTTTGTGCCAAATTTAAAGACATTCTCTCTGAGATATTGCCTTCATGAGAATGAGATGGATGTAAGGTCACAGCAACCTTGACCTTTGATCCATAACCACCAAAGCTAATCAGCTCATCACTGAGTCCAAGTGGACGTTTGTGCCACATGTGAAGAAATTCTCTGAGGCGTCCTTGAGATATTGTGTTCACAACGTTGAGGCAGACAACTCGAAACCATAATGCCTCCAGCCGCAGCTATCGGTGGCGCAAAGGCATAAAAAAAACGTACCTTTGGGGGACTTGAGGAGGCTGACGCTGGGCTCGATCTTGGTCCAGTCCAGGTTCTCCTCCTCAGGAGTGTGTTCGACCATCAGCTGGTAGAGCTTCATCGAGATGATGTCATGGTTATCTGCAAAATAAAATACCACTTCAGACTTAAAATACTCTACAAATGTTAGAATCAGCTGTGAAAAGAAAATGTTACTGCACAACGTGGTACAAATATAAAAAAAACTTCAGCAGTGAATATTATGATGTCTTTATTAAGCCCCGCCCCACCTGACAGATCTCCTGTAGCTGCTGAGGCACCAAAGAAATATCCTGTAGGAAGTCGAACTCCTCCGATGTCGATGCACTCCTTCCACTCGTTCTTATCGTCCACATCAACCATCACCTGCAAGACACACACCGGATGTTAGTGACGCAGCGCAGCACTGAAACAACTCACACTTTATTATTACAACTTAAAGAAGCTGTTCTAAAATGTGAAACATGGAAGGTGACATGCTTGTCACTGACATGACAGGCTGAAAATATTCTGACTGAACTAGACGAAGAGAAGCTGTGAAGCTTCCCAGAGTTCCTCTACATACAGTGAGTCTTCCTTTGGAGTAGCGGATGGCGAGGTACGTGTCGTGCTCTCTGTTCCTGATCTCAGCCGAGCAGCCTCCCAGCTCCGACGATCGGCCGTCTTTACCGTGGTCGTAGTTCACTGAGCCGTTGTTCACCATGGCTGAAATGTACGGGAAGGAACGCTGACGACAGAGAGGACACAACATGAATCTTAAACACAAACACAGCTGTACACACGTTAATAAATAAAGATGAGGAATAAATGAATATATAAAATAAAACATAAGAAGCCCACATGATACATCACAGGTCATGTTTCTATAAACACTGAAGCGTCCTTCACACTGCAGCTGTCCGTCGTCTCTGAGGCTCAGATGACATCATTACGTCCTGATCGGAATTATTAAACGTGGATCCTTTGTGTCAAACCGAGTTTGTGTCAAACTAACTGAAGCAGTCAGTTCTGAGTCTGAAGCTCAGCTCACTGCACGATCTGAGTCTGTTTCACAAATGTTGTTTTAGTCAGACTCCCTCTGGATGAGGAAATCGTCTGTAATGAAAAACCAAAGCTCTCGATTCATGTGCTCACACTGTTCATACAGTCTGATGGACTTTCCAACAGCTCAGAGGAGAGTTCTGCCTGTTCACAACTGTCAATAAAGATTTGTTTGAAAGCTCTGAGTCAGGTGGAAGTTTGTTTGATAGCAGAGGCCTGTAATATGGATGGTAAGTTTGCTCTCAATAACCCAACATCCTTTAAAAATAACATGAAACACTGGAGTTGTTTCCTTCAGTCCGGCGCTCTGCTGACTCAGTGAGTCTTCAGCGCCACATTTTACAGCTCTGTCCTTTTAGAGGAGGTGAAGGTTAATTATTTTGTCATGTTAATGTTTTGTCTTTTCTTGTATTTCCTGTTATCTTTGCTGACAGACAGAATGCTCGCTGCGTTAACATGTGGAAACATGGTCATCAGCAATTACAGCTGGTAACACTGTCCTGGTGGCTAATTCGCGTTTCCTATGTTAGCAAAGGAATGACCCGCCCTTCTTTCCCTCTGATTGGCTAACACTTGTTACCTTTGTAGGTCAGATTGGTTTGGTTATAGCAAGAGAAGTGAGACTGGTTTGGGTAACAATGTCAGGGTAAGACAATCAGAGGCAGAGCTGCGCCCCGCCGCGCCACATCAACTGACACATCAAGTGCCGCCCCCAGCACACAGCGATGCATCACGCTGCAGCTCATCAACGGATGACCACACAAAGATATTGTTGCTGACAGATCTGTTCTTCCTCCACCTCTGCGTCAGCTTCATATCATGTGTGGGCAGTCACTAATTAAAGTTGATGTCTCACCTGAAGAGCCGAGGACTCAACAGAGGACCAATGTCTTTATAATGACGGGACTGTGGATCATTTAGCTCGAGATATTCACGACCTCAAATGTGTTTGTCCTCATCCATTCTTGATCACACACGAGACACAGCTGCAGAGTTCTCTTTAAACATCCATGTCAGGGTTGGAAATTAACTTTTTGTTCACTTTTCACTGTGGCTGCTGAGTTCCAAAATCTACCAGACACTCAGTAGATAATGACAGTGCTAATTTCCAACCCTGACCCACGATGAGGAGTCGAGCTGCTACAGGAGCAGAGAGTGTGGGGGGGCTGCATATAAATCAGGTGGCGAGGCTGCAAATAGGACGGTGGCGTGAGACTCATGGCTCTGCTTCAAGAGCCTGACAACAGCCGACGAACATTTCTAACGTCAGAAATTCATCCAAACATCCACCAGCTCTGGAGCAGCTAATCAGGGCGTGGCTCTTCCTCACTCCCACCTGCACGCTGCACAGTCAATAACAGATGAGATTCAGACTGACTGTACAGCGAGGTGTGCAGCTGTACAACAGAAACAGACTCAGATTGCACAGTGTCTGCTCACTGACAGATCACACTCATGAGGAAATGCATCAGGATCTGCTCACACAGATTAAAAACAGAGGATCTGAGACACTTTTAACTGCAATGTGAAAGCAGCAGATTTCACAGGACGAGTTGTGGTGAAATAGAAACGACCACTGAACAGCAGTGTTCCTGCAGCAGAGCCTCATGCTCATTAACTCCTGTCATTAAATCTTTACTTTGCTGTGGAGACATAAATATGGCAGAATGACCTCTGAACATGCTCAAACAGTCTCTGACATCATGCTAACGTAACGTGAGGAAACACAGCATGCTGACGGAGTAAAACCTGAGCGACCACTCACATCTGTGGCATCATCGTTAGAGTAAGTATCTATAAACACGGCCAGCCCGTGGAACAGAGCATTGTTGGAAAACACAGGCCCTGCAAAGAAACAAGCTGGTTATCGCCTCGAGCTTCACACACACACACACACACCACACACACACTTACATCCATCCCATGGAGGTCATTGCGGAAGGTATCCAAAAAAATAGCCAGGCCATGAAACTGATCTTGGTTTCCAAACACAGGGCCTAGGATGGAGGCAGAGATGAGGCCAGACATGAGCACACAAAGCGAGACACTTCTCTGAGTCAGCACTGAGGCCGTGGACACACACATCTGGACACGATGAAACAAAGCTGTCTGATGGAGGGAGCGTGATGAGCGTTCGTGTGACTGTCTCCACCTTCACCTGGGCTGCATCTAACATGATCATCTCAACATGTGTGACCCTGCAGGTGAGCAGGTATAAAGCAGTTCCACTGTGTTCAGCTTTGAGTACCTGAGTAGCTCTGAGTAAATACACAGTTTAGAAACTTGTTATTTTCCAGGAGTTCTGTTGCTGCTGTGACAGACAGCAGCTTCACCGTCTCTAACCGTGTGTAAGACTTTGATCAATGAGCTGCTGGAAGGTTTTTCATATCAGGAGTGCAGACTCATCAGGGACAAAGGTGACGAAGATGCTTTAAAATGTGACTTTCATTTAACTTCAGAATAAGGATACAGGAAGTAACACAACGCAGAATTAATGTCATCTCACTGCTATAAAAGAGGTTTAAGGGTGACATCAGCTCGGTGCAGAGAGCAGAGCAGAGAGCAGAGAGCAGAGAGCAGAGCAGAGCAGAGCAGAGCAGAGCAGAGAGCAGAGCAGAGCAGAGCAGAGCAGAGAGCAGAGCAGAGCAGAGCAGAGAGCAGAGCAGAGCAGAG